AATAACATTTGAAAGGCAAATGTTAATTAAGCTCTCCCGAATGGTGGCAGAAGTCTAGCACTGAACAAGGCTGGGGTTAACAATGAAGACATCCCTTCTGTGGGCTTACGATGATCATTTCCCACATTCCCACCAATAAACTCTATTTCATTTCCACGTGACACACAAATCAAGAATCAGATATTCAGTTATGCTCTAGAAACATCTCTGACCTGATGCAGGAATTTTGCACAGCACTTTCCTTTGGTATAAAGTATTCCGCTTAAAATTCCTTATGATCAAAACAGCTTCACCCTTAAGCCTTACACAAGCACTGGCAAATACAGTAATATACTGAATGAGCTACATGCATACTTTTAAATATTTATTGTGCATATTTTAAATAGCAAAAAAGCAGATGATGTTAATAATACATAATATTTAATAATATATTTTACTTAAATAAATATTTTCATTTAGTATAGGTTTAATATGAGAAAACTTTAATTTGGTATTTTTTTATACTGAATATCCAGGATTCTGAATATATTTTATGTTTCTCATAAAACTTAATTCATATGCTAATTTCTAACCTGAAATACTTGGTCAACAGTTACTTTTCATAAAATAATAATAATTTAGTAAAACTATGTGCTAAAAGTTTACCAATAACCAAATTGAATACCATGTGTTAAGTTTACATTTATATTGATCAACAGTTACTTTTCATAAAATAGTAATAATAATAATTTAGTTAAAACTATGTGTTAAAAGTTTACCAATAACCAAACTGAATACCATGTGTTAAGTTTACATTTATATTGATCAACAGTTACTTTTCATAAAATAATAATAATAATAATTTAGTTAAAATTATGTGTTAAAAGTTTACCAATAACCAAATTGAATACCATGTCTTAAGTTTACATTTATATTGACTCAAATTTTAAATAAAATTGAAAATCAGTCCCTTGGTATCATTAACTACATTTTAAGGAATCATATGTTGTCAGTGGCTGTCCTACATATTGGGATGCATAGATGTAAATAGTTTACATACTTTTTCTTATTTGTTTCTTATAGTATTTCTGTGTGGCATATCTAATTCCCATCACATCTGAAGAAATTACAGAGATGCTCAGATGTTATGGTTAATAAATTGTGAGGCTGTATTTGATAGGGTCTCTATCTGCCTATAATTTCAGATGTTTCAAATACCCTTTTTAATCTATAATTTTTTTGAAATATACATAATTTACAAGCAGTAAAACTTACCCTTTTTGTCTGTGGTTCTATGAGTTTTTACAAGTATATATAGTTGTGTAACTGCCACTGAAGTCAAGGCAGAGAGTTCTATTCCCCAGAATATTCACTTTTCTAGTCAATCCGGGATGTCATTGACAGTCAGCCATCTTCTCCTTGTCTGTGCTTTTGCCTTTTTTGGAGTAGCAATCAGTGGAATGACATAGTGGGTTACCTTTGTGTGAAGTCTGGTGTCTTTCACCTAGGAGAATGCATCTGAGAGTCATCTAGTTGTCAAGTGTGTCTATGGATATGTGGAGTAGTATTGCATTGTGTGGAGGTGCTCTAGTGAGCTATCCCCAGTTGAAGAATAATCAGGATGCTCTCAGTTTTGGGTGGTTATGAATGCCAGTTCTATAAGCATTTATATCATCATAGTTTTTTTGTGTTGGTTATATTTTTTTGTTTTTGATTTTTGCTCGTGGTAAATACCTCAGAGTTGCTGGGTGAGTCAAATGAATTGCACATTTCTAAAAAGCTATATAACTGTTTGTGAAGTGGCAGTTGTGGTCATTTCAAATCCACATCAGCACTTAGTAATATCAGGTGTGTGTGTGTGTGTGTGTGTGTGTGTGCGCGCGCACACGCGCGTGCATGTGTACACGTGCATGCCCATATTTGGCTATTCTGAATAGGACCTAACACTCTTTAGGGTTTAATTTTTATTTCTCTACTCAGTGAATATACTTATCCCCTAAGAAGTTATACACAGATAGATATAATGAAACTCTCTATCCAAACTCAGTGTTCTGATCTCTGCTCATATTACTCACACTTCCTTGCCTTTTCCTGTGCTTAATTGTGACCTTTGGCGACCTCTCTTGGGCCAAATGAACAGCTGCTGGTGAGCTCCATAGGGCATTTTTCCCTTAGCTGACCTTCATCAGACCCTCACCATGAGACGGACTCTGGGGACAGCCTAAGGCAGATCATGGTAATTGCTTTTCTCAGCAGAACCCTGAATTCTTTCGCCTGAGGTCTCAGGGGCCTGACTGGCAGATGACCGTGCCACCTGGACACAGTGCTTTGCCAAGGGTCTGCTATTATTTATCTACTTTTTCCCAGGGGGAAAGTGGGCCATGGAGCCTTGACACCTTGTACCCTCTCCTTTGGACATCTTCCGAGACCATTAGCCGCTATCACATGTCTCCTTTCAGACAGCAGTGGAGAAAGCACCTTTATAGTACCTCTTCCGATGAAGACAAGTACTTGTTTTGCTTGAGTAAGGCTGAGTAGGGCTCCACAATACCTTTTAGGCAAATATGTTTATGTACATATGTACGTATGTATAATGAATATATGGTTATAACTCCTTGATTGTAACAAGAACATATTTCTAACTTGGGTTCCAGTCAAAAAATTGGTGTGAGATACCAAAAGCTGAGTGCCCTACCAGCTTAGCCCATTTGCTTATATAAGATGTGGAGACAAGAGATAATTCAGTCATCAGGTAAGGGCTTTGAACTATCCAAGTACAGATGGATAGAAAGTGTTTGGTTCCTTTCAAAAGACAAAGTGATACCTGTGACTTTATGGAGTGACAACATCGCGGGAACCTGGGTTCCATGGAAATTGCTCCTCCCTAATTTACTTTTCAGTCCTCAGTCTCCTGAGTTGGCCCTATTTTCTGTGGGCTGCACATGAAATGCCCGGGTGGTGACCTTTCAGTGATGGGATGCATCCAGGTGGGAAACAGGGTCGAGAAGGCAGTGATTTCAGAGGAGCTGTGGATCAGGGCCCTGGGAGTCTGACCTGTGTATATGTGGTTATAGAGCTTAGGGGAGGTAGGGAGAGGGAACAACTGAATTAGGAGAAGGAATTTTATGGTAGTCCAACAGAAAAAGTACCCACTCTACAGCCAAGAGCAGAACCTTTTGGCAGAATCTTCTAGAAAAAACACAGGTTTCTTCTTGCCATGAAGAAATGATCAATTTAATTAATGCCTTTTAGCTCATTTTAAAGTCCAAGGCTATCTGGTGGAGGGGGGGGGCGGGGGTCCAGGAGGATCTCTTGGCCTCCACATTTGCATGTGAAATCCCAGTGTCCTTGAAAGACACTGACAGAAAACTGTCAGGGTGGAGGCTGAGGCTAGGAACAGGCAGAACTCCAGTACAGAGGCCCTGCCCCCGTCCTGCTCTCTGTCCTTACCCTCAGTTCAAGGTGGGAGGCTGGCTAATCAATTATATCCTTGGTTCTTTGTCAAACTCCCCAGGTGATGTTGTCCTTCCCTGATAACTCTTTTCTCTTCCTGACATTCCCTTTCCATTTGCTTTGTGTTTTTTGTTTGTTTGTTTGTTCATTTTATTTGGGTTGGCGTTTTCCTTGAAGGGCAGTGAAGTTACTGAGGGGAAAAAAATCCAACAGAAGACTTAATACATCGACTAAATTAGGTCATGTAGGGAAAACAAAAACATAGCCAGGTGCTGGTGGTTCACTCTTGTAATCCTAGCTACTAAGGAAGATGAGATCTGATGATCATGGTTCCAAGCCAGCCCAAGTAAGAAAGTCCATGAGACTCTGTGAGACTCTCATCTCCAGTCAACCACCAGAAAACCAGAGGTGGCACTGTGGCACAAGTGGTAGAATGATCATTGAGCTGAAGAGCTGAGGGACAACATTCAGGCCCAGATTTCAAGCCTCATGACCACTACCACTACCACACCACCACCACCACCACCACCACCAAAAAGTTTACAAAAGAAAAAACAAGAACAACAAAATCATATTAGTTCCTTCCATGGAAGTTTTTCCTTTGCTTCCTCTAGTATTCAGCTAACTATGACCCATGGACAGATGAAAAGTGGGATTTTAAAACTTGATATATCTCGGTTTCATCCAACAAGTAGGTGGGTCTGCCTATTGTTTATATGTGTTTAGATTATCTGAATGGACTTTTGGCTTTAGTATATGCTGGAATGTCCTTGTAAAGTTACAAGGAATCTTTGTTTGATATAGGACTTTATCATCCTAAATAATGTTCTTGTCCATTATGAAGCATAAAAGAAATGAAAGTGAGTCACATCTGTACTTAGCTTTGAAACGTATTAGGTGATAGATCTTTAATCCTCCAGCTTACTCTACTTGTGGAGATTCTCTGTTGCCTTCTAAATATCAAGGACATTCAGATCCCAATTCATTAGGAGCTCTGGCAAAGCTGCTCTGCATTATCTCATAGACCCTTTGCCAGCTAATGAAGGAAAAGAGGAAAAACCACCAATTTTAAGGTGACTGTGGCCTATGAGCCAATCCACAATAAGCCAGTAACATGGACAGAAATAGATGCCAGGTCATCTGCCCCCCAAAATCTACTAGGTTACTAATTGGGATTTCTGGTCTCCCACCATTAAGAATACGCGCAAGACTCTCTTAAATAAGGGTACATGTCTCTGGAAGGGCAGCATCTTCAGCTGGGGTCAGAGTGAATGTTAATAGTGAATTAAAGATAAAATCAAATGGCAAAAAGTACACTCAGGAAAAGTGGGGGAAAGAACATGAGGAAGATAGAGATGGGGTAGGTAGGGAGGTGGTAGAGGCTCTGAAGATGAAACCAAACGTCATTCAGAGGCTACAGGATATACAACATGATTCATCGTGTTCCTCTTTCTATCTCATATATTCCAAACAACCTGTGAAAGATGCTAGGAATTCTTTCAGGACTCCGTTAAGACTACAGGTATTTTGACCCAATGTGGTTCTTCAACTTTCACCTTTTTTCCTAGGTAGCAGGTATCAAAGGTATATTCCTGGCAAACAAGAAGGTGGATGACCAGGTGAAGACATACATCACTTACAACAAAGGCAGGGATTGGCGCCTACTGCAAGCTCCAGATGTGGACCTGAGAGGAAACCCAGTGCACTGCCTGCTGGTCAGTCTCCAAGCCCCATGCAGACTCAGTTCACAGGGCAGGCTGCTCCCCCAAGCATGGTACCTCAAGGGTTTTCTCAGCACCAGCCCAAGACTCACAAGAGGTCTTGGGAGTTGGGCTGCTACTACAAAGCAATTTTCTACAATTGCTAGAATACTGGTCTATGGGTTCAGATTGTCCCACACATATAACTCATTTGAACTGTACAGCATTTACATGTACTCAATAAATGCCTGCGCAATTCAACTAAGAATATCCAGTGAGCTCTAACTCATAGTAAGATATAGAAGAAATAAAATCTCAAGCAAAATTTGGCCTGGTGGTGTGTACCTGTAATCCCAGCTGCTTTTCAGCTAGAGATGAGAAGATTAAAGTTCAAAGCCAGCCTAGGCAAAAATATTAGTGAGATACTATCAGCAAGACAGAAGTGATAGATCAGTGAATGGATAATACTTTAAGGATAGCCCTGCCTGGATAAAAACCACAAGACCCAATCTGAAAAATAGACTAAAGGCAGAAAAGATTAGAGACCTCACTCTAGTGGTAGAACTCTTCAGTACTAAAGCGAAGGATACAGACTGGGACAGATGGAGCCCTTACCATTTTGCATATTAAACTAACTCCAATATTTTGTTTTGTTAATTTTTCTCCTTTAAAATATCCTTTGGGTATTAGGAAGATCAGAGACAAAGGGGAGCCTAATGCTAGAAACAGCTTGTAGTATCAAGATTATAGCATGAAGAGTTGGTTTTTCCTCCCTTAAACCTTACCCATGACTTTATCTTATTTTCTTAACTTAGTCTCCTATTTTCTCATTTCTATCATTATTTTTATTAATTGCATAGAATATGTATTGATGAATCCCCAAGCTATTTTAATTTTGTGTGTGTGTATGTGTGTGTGTGAACTCTGGGCCTGGGTGCTGCCCCTCAGCTCTTCAGCTCAAGGTTAGTGCTCAACCACTTGAGCCACAGCACCATTTCCTGCTTTTTTTCTGCTTATGTGGTGCTGAGGAATGCAACCCAGGGTCTCATGCATGCAAGGCAACCACTCTACCACTGAGCCAACTTCCCAGCCCCCTCCAAGCTCTTTTTAAAATGCACAATCAGGATACTTAAGTCCTTACATAAAGATCATAGACTGAAGAATTTCAGTAATATCTTAAAATATTTCAGGTGAGATTCAAGCAAAACTATAAACAGGAACAAAATACATATATATATGTATTCTGTGTATGTGTATATATATATATATACACACACACACACATATATATATATATAGAAATAAAACTGTGTGTGTGTGTGTGTGTGTGTGTGTGTGTGTATACACAGAGAGACAAATCAGTTGAAGAAGCAAGTGGGGAGTAGAGGGCCTAGGTTATTTCACTGTGCTTTCCTTCTTCACTTCTTTCCGTGATGGTCAAGGGCTGACATGGTGGTGGTGGTAGAGTGTTCTTATTCTGTTGGGGGAAAAAAAAGGCCTGGGCAGCTTCTTAAATCCATCCATGAGGACAAGGAATATGACTACAGATGATATTAGGAAGGAAAGGACCATGGACTGATGTTCAGGACAACTCAGAATGTGTAATACTAGCTATGTCAAGTGGACTTGACCTATGCCTCAAAACTGAGTCTAAAGCTCATCGTCCCAAATCTTACTGTTTCTGTAAGCTGAGCGCCGTGAAGTTCTATTTCTAGTAGGGCAAGAGGATGGCAGATTCAGGAGTTCCCTTGAGTGAAACAATTTTCTTCTTTATCGTTATAGCCTTTCTGTTCCTTACACCTGCACTTGCAGCTCTCTGAAAATCCATATTCCTCAGGACGAATCTCCAGCAAGGAGACAGCCCCAGGACTTGTGGTGGCCACAGGTAAGGAAAATATCTCCTGGGCTTCTCGCTCACAGAGCACCTCTAGAATAAATTTGCCACTTATTTTTGGAACAAGCACTAGTTTGGGTTTTGCATGGAAACTATGGGAATATCTCTCCAGAAAAACATTCTAGAATCTAGAATGCAAACAGTTGTGGATAACTAAGGTTAACAACCTCTTCCCCAGTCACAGAACAGATCCTTAGGTTTGTTCTGCAAGAGGCCAGAGATTTCTGTCAGAATGAACTTACTGGTCAGAGAGATTTGAAAAAAAAAAAAAAAAGAATTCTCACTTTAAGAAAACATGGTATATGAACTTCCCAGCTTCCAAATATCAGTTGGGGCAGTTTTCTCTTTACACAGAAGATACTTTACAAAGAGTTTCACCCTAGAGCTGTTTTTAATCAGGAGGTCTCTGGTGCATGTAAAGGTTTGTTTACACATGATTAAGCACTTGGCTGAAAGCCTGGGGGAAAGGCCAGAAAAGCTTAAGGTTGCATTGTTGGAACCACTGTCCACTGAACATCAATCAGAAGTGAAGACAAAGCAACCCAGATGAAAATGAAAGTCTGGGGGAATGTGGTCTCATTAGCATGCACCTGATTTGCATATACCTTTTCAGGAATGCATTGACAGCATCAGGCTAGGCAGGCTTCTAATCTTAGAAGTTAGAGCTCTGGTGTTAGGCAGCTTTCTCTTGATGAAAGCAGATATATTCACAGTGGCTTTCTGAGGAGGTACATTCAGATTCTTTCATCAACTTTAAGCTCTGGGTCTTTTATACATGGCTTTCTTCTCTAAGTGTCTACTCCACCAGCAGTGACCAACTGTTTTATTCAGATGGTCAGTGAACAGAGCCTGCTGGTATTTTCTTTTTCTAACTCAAGGCTACCACTTCGAGCCACAGCACCATTTCTGGCTTTTTCTGTGATTAATTGGAGATGAGGGTCTTCTGCCCAGGCTGGTTTTGAATCATGATCCTCAGTTCTCAGCCTCCTGAGTAGCTAGGATTATAGGTGTGAGCCAACAGCACCCAGCTTCTTTTTTTTTAATTAAAAGAATTACTCTCTTTAAGTAGTTGTACAAAGGAGTTGCAATCTAACGGAATTTATGCATACACTACATCTTGATCAATGTCACCGCTTTTAACTTTCTTATCCATCCTTCCTCTCCTCATCCCTTCCTTCACTCTTCTTAGTTTTGTAGGATATATATTGAATTCTTGTTTGTATTTCCCCCCTCTGGGTGGTATCTTGATCAAGAAGAGTCAATCATGAATTGCATGACTGCTGTCAGGCACCAAGGACAGTGATAACTCAGGGCAGGATCTGTTGCTGTGCTCCTAGCTTGGGCGTGATCCTATTCTCCACCATCAGTGCGAGTTGGCTTTTCCAACTCAGGGGCTGTTGTTACCCTTGCCTTTAGTCCAGGCCTACAGGAAACCAGGGCTGGAGCAGAAACTCTGCTGCAAAACTTCTCAGGAGTACAATTTAACATGATTGGAATGCCTGAAAGGTAGCCAAATATTGTTCAATGTAGTCTAAGCACCTTGGACTTTAATATTTTCATTGGAAAGGTGGGAATAATAGAACTAACATAGTAGAATTGCAGGGCTAAATGAAGCAATGAATTTCAAATACTTAAAACCATACTCAGGATACACTAAATGTCCAGGACATGCTATCTGTCATCATCATTACTATCATAGACATTCAAGCTGCTCTTTTTATATCTGAAGACTATAATTTGTCCATCTCTTTCTATAGCACCATTAATCATACACATATATCATGGATGCAGTGAAACTCAAAAACCTATGGTTCTTGTTTTCTAAGCTGAGCTCTAACACTTACAAGGGTTGTAAATTTGACTTAGTTTTACCTTCTTGGTTTCATTTTTCTCATCTGTAACAAAGAATGTTTTCTACCTTGCAAGAATGTTGCAACAACTTGAGGTCAAGTAATCTATCTAAAAGATTGTAGAGTTAGGCATGGATGGTGCACACCTGTAATCCCAGCACAAGGAAGGCAGAGGGAGGAGAACTGTAAATTCAAGGCTAGTCTGAGCTACATAGGGAGACCTTGCTTTAAAAAGCAAACCAACCAGTTAAACAAAAATAAATGTGAACAGAGTGCCGAGAGTTTAGTTATGTGGGAAGAGTGGTAGTTGCTATTACCTGTGAATAGTCTACTTTTAACTCTTCTTTGAGTAACTGGCATGGGATAATAGTGACTTATTTTTTCTTTGTTCTTGTTTATTAAATTTGACTAACTTCTTTTTTTCTCCCTTAAGTGACATCCAGGGCTTCTTGCTAGCCTTGAGCATTTCTTTGGGAGCTGATGAGCTCCTCACGAAAAGCCAGAGTTAAATCATTGCTCAGGCTTCCTCATGCCCAGCTTTGCTTCTGTCTGTGTAGTCTCCCTGGGAGATTATTTGCCTCCAGGAAAATAATTGGCATCGAGTGGCTTGTGTCTCCAGGAACCTTTCCACATTTATGTCCCCACCAATTGCAGGAAGGCCCTGGGACCTTCACCTTTCCACTCTCCCTGCTTATACCCTCTTCCCATCTTGCATGGAGAAGTGGTGACAGAAATGCCAGGCAGGTGAATCAATGCCTTGATTCATTCCCACCTCTTGCTGGGGCTCTCTCAGATGCAGAAGGAATTCATATCTATAGAGTTTTGCATCTCCTATTAGCAAGCAAGAACACTAGGGCTCTCAGCATCCCAAACACTGGTCCCTAATTAGTACTGAAGACCTACCATGGTCAAGAAGCCTGAAAGTATGCGTTCTTCTCCTTCCCCTGTTGGCACAGCAGCCCCGAGTTGCAGATACAACATGCAGCCACAGTCTCCTTCAGTTTACTGATGAAGGGATGCGTGGGAAAGGATGGTGCTTATTCCTATAACCAGCCCTCCAGATCCGTCTCCAGGACTTAAATGTGCTAGTTCCACAGCTAACCCATCCCCTGCTCTGCATGCTATACATGCTGAATATTTACATGTTTCCTTTATTCGGCACATCTTCCATCTGTAGCTGGCTGTGCACCACAGAGGGTCTTCCACCCCTTAGTCCTCAAAATGGGGTAGCCAAATGGGTAGCTTTTCTAGCTTTCTGGCATGCGTGATGAGAGGCATCTCTAATCTACAGATTTCAAAATTCTTTCCATTCCCGCCCCTCTCATGCTTAAAGAGTGGAGAAGGGAAGATAGCATGGGGAGAAAACAGAGAATAGAATGTAAATCTGCTCCAAAGCTCCCAGTACCTCCCTCATTTGCCTGTTAAGTTGTTGGCGAGAGAAGCTCCCTATTCTACTGCCGTTCACTGCACTTTTCTTCTGCCTTGCCACCATGGTAACCCCAGCTACACCTCCTTCTTTCAGCAAGTTCCGCAGCCACTCTCGCAGAGCCTCATCACTTCAGCTTTAACCATTGAGACTCTGTCCTCAAAGCTGCTTCTCTGCCATCATCACCCAGACTCTTCCTGTAAGAGTTTGCCCACAGAGCTGCTTAGGGACTGAACATGGCCAAAGTCCAAGTCCTGCTTTGTAGATCTGTTATTCCTCTGTCGAACAGCCAACATTCTGGTCCTTGTTACTAACAGTATGCCATGCAGGGAACCCATCAATGGATGGGAGGTACTCTCAAAAGTTGACTTCATTATGAGCCTGGGAGTCTTTCTTCTTCCAAAATCAGTGTGGTGAAAGAGAGGCTGAAAATGTTGTGAAAACCAACTTCTAAGAAGGATAAAATAATCTGGGCACTGGTAGCTCACACGTGTAATCGTAATTCCTCAGGAGGCTGAGATCTGAGGATCTAAATTTGAGGATCTAAATTTGAAGCCAGCCTGGGCAGAGAAGCTCAAGAGACTCTAATCTCCAATGAACTGGCAAAGATATGGTAGATGAAAGGGGGGACTCAAGTGATAGAATACCAGCCTTGAGGTTTGAAAAAGCCAAGTGAGAGTTCCAGGTCCTAAGTTCAAGCCCTGGTACTGGCACCAAAGCAATAAGAAAGGAAAAAATAAAAACTAAAGAAGAAAGGTAAAACATGTTGGAACAGAGCTATAAATCTGAAGAAACCATGCCAGGAATTGCAGCCTAAGGTAGTTGTACTCATCATTCTGTATTCTGTGGAAAGCACAGATGGCTTCCAGATTCTTCTTAGCACAGCGTTCCCAGCAGTTACCACACCACAGCTCTAGTTGAGATCTTCTGCCCCATCCTTCTTTACTTCCTCTACTTGCCTTTGGAGAGCTGCATTCCACATTCCAGAGATATCTAAAGAGAGGGTCACCAAGCCTCTCTGTGCTTCAATCATACATACTTCCTGAGCCTTGAGCCCTGGGGTTATTTTTGGAAGCCTGAGTGTCAAAACAAGTTGGCTAGCTGTGTGCTCCCTGATGCTGACGGGAACCTGACAGGCTGTAGCCAGGCTTTAATTTCTCATTTTGAAGTATTAAATGTCAGAAGCTCAATTAACATTTTCATTATTGCATTTTTATTGTGCTCTTGTTTAGGCTACAGATGTGTGGGAGCTAACATTCCCTTCTTGCTGTTTCTAAAGAAGAAATATCAGTCAGTATGATAAATTCTTACATGTTTAGGGCATTTTCCTGGTTTGCAATATGTCCCCAGTTGCACATCAACATCAGAATATTATTCAATCCTTTATTTATTCAAACACTCTAGGCACAATAATTTATTGAGCTCTACTAATTTGGGGCCTTGTTCTAGGCTCTGAGGTAGCTACTGTCCATTGGTAAAGCTTGGACAATGTAGATGGATAAGGAACTCTCTTCTTGGAATATAATTGTGATTATATGGAAGGGGATCATGAAGAAGAACAGAAAGAAGAATGGGAAGGAATGGGTGTGGATGTAAACCACAGTAAATGTTGTCATCTGTTATCGCAGTATGACTTCTTTTCTCGTGCTGGTGGTCTCTGCAGAGTGTGATTATCTTGTTCTGGGGAATCTGTAATTCAGGCTGTGTAGTCTGTACCACAGGTTTCCTTATCCAGCTGACATTCTAGAGATAGCCTAACAAAGTCAGATGGAAACCTACATATTCACAAACATCAGTTTTTCTCAGACCAAAGCTGCACTTGAGGACTAAGGAGCCCTCTGTCCTGCTTCAACACACGTATTTATTCTTCATGGGACACAAATCCAAGGCCATTTACAACAGTACTGGCGTAGACATACAGAGTGAATAATTCAACAGACCCACGCTAATTGATATTCACTTTCAAGTCTTGCCATTTAAAGGTGCATTTCTGTCATATCATTTACTCTTTCCCTATATTGGTTTTTGCTCTGCCTGCAAGGCTTGTGATACAGCACCAAGAAAGAGAAGCACAAGTGGAAAAGAGGGGCTGGGCTGGGAGAGATGAGGGAAGACCAGGAAAGGAGTGATACCAACCAAGACCCATTGTACTTATGAACAGACATGTTGAATACTCACCTGTTTGTTCAACTACTTAAAGATAATAAAAAGTCAGGCCCTAGTGACTCACAGCTGTAATCCTAGCCACTCAGGAGGCTGAGATCTGAAGATCATGGTTGAAATCCAGCCTGGGCAGGGAAGTCCATGAGACTCTTATATCCAATTAACCACCAGAAAACTCAGAAGTGGAGCTCAAATGATAGAACACTAGCCTTGAGCTGAAGAACTGAGGGATGGCACCCAGGCCCAGAGTGCAAGACCCACAACCTACAAAAATAGATAATAAAAAAGAAGTGATTGCCAGAGAAAAACCAATGGAAAAAGGAAAGAGGAAAGAACTAGATGCAGTACATTAGCTGTCTTTGATTCTGGTACCCTGCGTTTTATATTGACATTATTCTGATTTGAGGAAGGAAGGGGAATAACAAAATGCTGAAACAAAGACACAGGATAACCCATTGCCACAATATTCACAAGATACTATGTAGGAAATGAACTATACCACTTTGGGGGAGGGGTGGAATGGGAGAGGTAAGGGATAGTGGGAGACAAACAAGGGAATGGGTAACAATGTTCAACAGGAAATGTACTCATTACCTTACTAATGTAACCATACCCACTCTGTAGAACATCTTTACAATAAAATGAAACAAAAAAGATAAAAAAAAGAGAAGCATAAATCAATGATCACTATTTCTTGGGAAACTTTTGCTCTCTGCCGCCCCTCCACACACCCCAAGGACATTTCATTTGACAGTATTTCATTTGCTTGTATTTCAGGCAATGTTGGCCCGGAGCTCTCATACACTGATATTGGTGTGTTCATCTCCTCAGATGGAGGCAACACCTGGAGACAGGTAACTGGGGTGATTCAGGGAGAGGGAAGAGACATTTAGAGTTAAATTCAGCCAGCATCTCCCCTTCCAGCAGTTTCTCAGGCATTTTATGACTGTTTTTATTTTGTCAACCTTAGATGCCAGTTGTAAAAGGCAGTAAGGTAAGAGCACTGGGCAAGAAATAGAAAGAACTGGAATTTTCCCTTCTGGTTCCTTGTTTCTCTCAAGAGTAGGTATGTAACAGCTATTTGATACTAAATACTGTGCCAGTTCCTAGGGATATGACTAAATATTTTTTTCTGGCATTAATATGCCAAGAGATCTTGGTCAGCCAGCCTCTTTACCCTTCTGAATCTGTTTCTACCAAGTGAAAGAATTAGAATGCTAAAATTGGCAAAGGCTTAAAAGTCAATGGTGGTTCAAGAATTATGTGGAATTAGCTCTGAGAAAGTAGTAGAGAGCTAATAGATACATGACTACGTGAAAAACGAATTCAGTGCTGCAAACATTCAGTGCTTTCCAGCATAACTTTCAATAATGATGAAAGTTTTCTTTATCTATGCTCTCTCAGCTACTGGGCACTTGATATATGGCTAGTATGACAGAGTCACTGCACTCTTTTATCTATTTTAATTAATTTAAAGGTAAGTAGCCTCGTGGAGCTACTATACGGCACAACATGAATTTTCTTAATGTCAGTGAGGTGCCAGGCACAAGCCTCAGCAGTTGGAGTTCTTTTCCTCAAGGAACTCAAAAGCAAATAGGGGAAGCGGGCACAAATAATGATCTATCTATTAGGGTGAATGTTACTTTGGTGGTATTATTATCATGGATAGAAAAGACAAGAGTTGATTCTCCTGGGGAAATTGAGAATGACTTCATAATAAGAGGTGATATTTTACAAAGCCTTAAAGGTGAAGTTTCCATCTGGGAAAGACAAGGGAAGGGAACTGAATGTCTTGATGCTGTGGGTAAAACCACCGTCTGCAATCTGGTTGGACAGGTTTCTCTGTGAATGTCTTTTAGTCATCATCATGACCCAAGATCATCGGTATTGTCATTACAGTCACTCCAGTGTCAGTGCTTTCACCACTACTATGCTGAAAAAAATTACCAAGCACCTGATAGATGTGGTATTGTAAGGGCATACTGCCACAATACTTTGTTTCCTACCCTGAAGGCCATAATCAGGTGGAGGAGGAACACATGTAGATAAAATCATACCTTTGAAGTATAAAAAAAAGAAACAGTATATAACAACAACAACAAGCAAAAAAAAAAAAAAACCTTGCAAATACCAAAAGAGAGAGGAGACCAGAATGCAAATTAATCTAGGACAAAATTCCCATCAGGCAGATCATTTCCCCTGTACTTAAAGGAATAGCTTACCTGGCCCATTGGCCACTGCAGCATTCCTTTCTCTGGGTTTTGACTGATTTTCTTACCCCAGGCTTCGATCCTCTATCTCCTTCATGTGGCTTGTCATCTAGCTATCCTTTAACCTCAGAAAGAAAACCAAGCATTCTACACTCACAGTCTCTGTTCAGGTCTGAAATGAAGTAAGTCATTCCCTTAGATCCTTTGTATGTTAGGCCTTTCCTTAAAAGATAAATGTAAAGAAGGAAAATAATGGAGAGTTTTAGGAGAGGAGTAAAGAATTTTAAGGAGAGGGGAAAGGTTTTTAGGACGGAGAAACTATTGTTTTCTCTGTAGCATTGATTGGAATATGAATATAGGTGGCTTCATTTCTACTGCTCATTCTGCTTTTAGATCTACCTGTCCCTCCTCACCTACTCCTATCCCTGTTCACCTAAATCATTACCTCAACTTCTTCAACTAGTCTGTGAGGGCCATGGCTAATGTTAAGTACTGGAAGAAGTCTTTAAGCCTGTGTTTCTCTAGACACGCTGAAGCTGAGGTTAGTTCTAGAGGAAATCATTTTTTTTCCTCCTGATTCAAGCTGGAGACATATATGGTAGGAACACTGAGCTATTCATGCTTAGCAAATGGCTGTGAATAGAATGGATGATTGGATCACTAAATGAGTGGGTGAGTGAGTGAACTGGTAGATAGATTGATAGCTTATGGACAAGTAGTTGAATCAAAGGATGAATAGCTAAAACCTTGGAAGTATAATGGACATTTATAATAAGAGCTCAAAGGTACCAAAGCTAGGCCTCCATCCAATCTTCAAGGGAGCCAGGGAAAGAGTAACTAAGTCTAATAACTCAATTATCTTAGGGTCTAGTGGAATTGTCTTTTTAAAGCTCCTTGGTAAATTATAAACACTGTGAGACATACATCAGTTACAAACTAGCAAGTCTATGCATAGCTGAGGAAGAAAAGAGGACTTAGCTGTAATTTATGAACATGAAAAGATTGGGGTGTATTCATTTTGTCATAATTTCCTTTGGGTTACATAGTTGAGCAAATCCCATATTCCCTCATCCTTGTGTAGTGCACTGGTTCACTGGACTAGTGGAGAAAATGCCAGAAATTCCACTTGGCTGACCCATGGAAATTTATTTCTTCTCTGTAAAGTCAGATTTTTTCACCTATAACTGGGGATAATGTTCACCAAACAACCTGATAGACTTCTAGGAAGACCTAGACTCTAGATGCAATGATGTATTGGAAAGATTGTCAACTGTTAAGCTCAGTGCAAATGGACGGTGTCACTATGATTGCTATTGTTGTTGTTATTCCAGATCTTTGATGAAGAGTACAATGTCTGGTTCCTGGACTGGGGTGGCACCCTTGTGGCCATGAAACACACACCTCTGCCAGTCAGGCATTTGTGGTAAGGACAATTTCCTACCCTACTAATGAGCAGTTTAGGTTCTTTGTTTATTTTGCTTTTTTGTTATTTTTCATGGTTTTGTTCCTTTTTCTCTGTGTCCTTATCCATTATCCATTAGCCCATCTGTTGAATGTGCCTTACATCATCTAGTTCTTCTGTGGCAATAGTAGGACAGATAATTGAGATGGAGGAGTGTGATGAATGGCATGAGATGTTGGGAATTGGTGGAGAACAGAGCACCCATGAGTTAAAGCAGCTAAGTTTAGGAATCCAGAATAGAAGAGATGGAAATGGCTACAAAGGGATAATTGGGTTCATGGAACAGAGCTAAACATTAGCTCTAGATAAGTTCAACATGTGCAAAATAGTCCACCAAAGACAACTATTCCATTAGATACAGTCAACTGCAGGGATGTCTGGTCTGACACATTAGGTTGGTATTGCAGGCATGGTGGTCTTAGTGCTTCAAGACAGTGAGTACAAGGAGGTAAAAACAGACTTCTACTCCTGTGGTACCCTGGTAAAATCCTTATTCATGGTGAAAGAATGTACAGACCAAAGAGAAAAAACAAAGAGAGAAAAGCTCAGGTGACAATGGTTTCACGGCTCCTGAGGGAAGGGGCGCTCCATGGCATTATCTTCTATAATCAGTTTGAGTCACTAATGGAGTAAGGACTCAGCAGAATAAAAACATCATGAAGTGGTTTGGGACAGAGTAGGTTTAAAATAAGAGGTGGGGTTGAAAGTGAGATTGCCATCAATTTATAAGTGAATGAATTACTGAATGAATGATAAGAAATGCAATGGAAACAGGATAGATGATTGCTCTCAAAAAAAAGGTAAATGTTTGATTGTAACTGGGAGTATACACACAGGACCTTTAATGAGATAAAGAGCAGAGTGAGAATATAACTCACTTGTGCTTGTAATGATGGTTGGTGTCATGTGTTTTATGTTTTGGGCAGGTGGTAGAGGATTCATATGTACTTATATCCTGAGGGGAAATAATTTTAGACTTCAGACTCAGCAAAGGGAATATTTGGAAGTAGAGAAATACAGTAACTAGAGTACAGTTGATGGGATTCTCCATGAGCAGAATGTTGGATCTTGGCTGCTGACTGACCCTTAGTTTGGAGATGTCAGTGCATTTAGAGTCTTAAGGGAGCATTAGACCATCATCAAGAACAAGCTTAGGATTCTCTACTACCTAATCCAAACTTTATCCCCTTGCCAAAGACTTAAGTTTGACTGTTTTTGTTTACATTGGAGAAATTGTTATTTTTATGTTTTAAAACACTCAAATATTGGTAGTTCCTTAAAGCTCAGCCTGACATAAAGTGAAATCTTTATACCTAATACTCTCTATAATTTTACAGAAGGATTATAAAAATAAATTTTAAAATAATACATGGAGTCTCTCATCCTATGTGCCTAGGGGTGAGTTTATGGAGATTCCTTCCCTTCCATTATTTATTATCCATTTAGCACTATTTACATTTTCAGGCAGTATCTAAAGAAAAATTGTTTGATACAAGAAGTTAGCATTTATCAAATTCCAGGGACTGTTCTAAACTGCTTACATGAATTATTTCATTTCATTTAATTCTGTATAGATGGGTCCTTTATTTGAATTGCTCATCTATAATGGCATTGCAATATAACCACATTAAATACCTTGCTCAAAGCTGCACAGCTTGAGCCTTTGGCACCAGGTTGAGTGCTCCTCTGTTTTAACTACTAATATCCTAAATTCTGAAAGGATATGGATCTTGCCTTTTAGAATATAACAGTCAAAATAAGCTTAGATGGCCCATTTATCACCAGAAAGTGAAAACGATGTCTGCTGCAGTATGCTGGCTTGTGTATAGTAACACATACAATAGGAAGAGAGTTTCTACAGCAGGTGGTACATGGACTGAGTTTTAAAGGTAGGAGGCCATGAGCTTGAGGCAGGAGTTGTGGGAGCAAGCTAGAGAAAGCAAAAACCCTAACCCAAATCCAGGAAAATACAGGCCATATTCATCAGACCATAGGGCTGAGAACTGAAATGGTAGTTTAAGAGATGCAAGTTGCTCTGTTAGATATTTTCTTCCATTATCAAGATCCATTTTTCTGTGGAGTAAAGACCTACAACTGAGGACTCATACTGGTGGAGAAAAAGGGAATTGAGTCTTGAGATGATTTTGATTTTTGACAAGAAGGACAATGTTTCTTAGTCTCATTTATAATTGTTTTTGGAATCTCCACCTTGCTCTCAGTTAGAGAATTGATATACACAGTGTACACAAATGTAGCTGGACAAGTTTCTTTCCCTTAAGTTCTGAGAGAAGACAGAAATAACACTGACTTCTATCTGACCACCACCCAGCAGCTATCTTTTCTTGATTGTGCTAGGAGCCTTATACGAACTTTAATTATTGACATTTTTAGAGCTTTCTACAGAAATGTTTCCTTGTGTTAAGGAAAGGAAGCCTTTGTTGCTTCCTTTTGGTGGCAAAAGGAGAGCATGCTGGTTGTTAAAGAGGTGGAACTGAGGTACCAGAGAAAACTGGGGCTCTGGCAATTCTTCACTAGCGTTTTTACATCTGACCCCTCAGCCTGAGCTGTAGTGTCTCTCTTTCCAGAGACGTGCTTACTTTCAATAAGAGCACTTGCCTGGAAAATCATGGAAGGTAAACTTATCCGGTGGTGAACTTGTTTATGATTTACCAAGTGATAGGCAAGAAGGACTAAACCATGCCTTCGCAAAGCCATTGATAAACAATATGAATTTTCTCTTGTTCCACGTAATACCTTTTTCCATAAATGATGAACAATAATGCATTATATAAACCAACAATTTGGGAATTTGAATGTAATCTCTATAAAATGATTAAAATGTAAGATGATAGATAAGCGTCTAATTATTTATTAATCACTACCCAATGTGTACACAAATCAGACATCACATTGTACTTCTCATATTGTACAAACATTGTCAGTCAAAAATAATTTTAAATTTGTTAACTATCATTTTAGAGCTCAGAATACCTGCATCCTCATTGAATTTCCTCCATTTATTTGTCTACACTAAATCACAAAAGTATTACAGTAGTAAAGATTGCATAGTAAAGATGATTTAAACCAAGCTTTTGAGATAGCATTATCTCTATTTCAAGGAAATTGACACTGCCACCTGTCACCAATGCTACAAATGTTTTTCTGGACTCAGTAACATGGTTTTTCTTTACTTGCCTTATCTATCTCTGCCATTCTCCCAAACAATTCCTGTAAATGGTTAAATGCCAGCTATTGAGGATGCATATTAGAAACCAATTCATTCAAGACTGTCCTTTGTGTTTCTCTTTTAGAAGCTAAGTGAGTGTTTTGTAAGGGCTTGACCACACCATTATCATCAACGTTTTCTTATGAAATGGTTGACTGATTTTGTCTTCTGCTTATGAAATGCAAGCTTCTAAAACTCAGAGTGTTTTCATCACTGGTGGCTTCTAATTAAGTCACAAACTTCAAGGCAAACAAATAGCTGATCTCTAAAGAAAGAAAGGTTAAATAATCTGTTCACTGTTACTTTCTGCTATAGATCTCAGACTGACTTTATTTTATTTACACACACATCTTAATGCATGGGAAAAGGACGCTAGCTTACTTAGTCTCTCACCAAGGGTATAATGGATCTCAGACTTAAATAATAGATACATTGCTTTTCAGAGAAAATAGGAGTCATAATTGAAAAGCTAGGGAAACTTTAGCTAGTCTAACAAGGCATGCTGTTTGCTACAAATTGAAATAATAGGTAGCTAGATAGGCATGAAAACAAAACAGCATACAAATGAACCTATCCATTTGTGACCAGTACATTTAGATACATAAAGATTAGAACCTAAGTGCTATTGCAGGTAAGCTCTTTCATCCAGGGTTACTTTTGTACCTTTGAAGCATTAGAGGGACCTGGACAGTAGAGCCCCACCAAATACAGTGCTTTAATGAAAAATCACAATAGACAGGGTAGTTAATGGGGGGGGGAGGGATCATCGGGTACTGGGATGTGACTGTGTACATAGTCCTGACAAAGCTGTTCTTATCTCCCTTTCAATGGGATATTCTTGGAAACAGAAAGAAAAATATCACCTGGCATTTTGTGTTCCTGTGTTCATCTATAAATGGCTGTGGGCACTAGCATTTTGTTTTGTTCAGGAAGGAAAATATCCCCATGAAAACAATGCTTATCTCTGACCAATGCTTATCTCTGAGGAGGGAAAAGAGCATGTGGTACGCTGAAGAATTTCCAAGAGGTAATATGCCACCATCTCATGCATGTGGATTAAAATAAAAGGGGATAGAGGAAGATACATTGGTCTAAAAGACCATTATAACTACTTTTGTGCTTTTGTACTGTGAGAAGGACTTCAGTGGTTCTTACAGTATTCTGTTCATTTTAGTTTCTCTCATGTGAATCTTAGGAATTTACAAACTCTTGGAACACAAAAGAGTCCTAGAGGTCATGAAATCTGCTATAATAAATAATTTTGTCATGTCTCAAAAGGTCACAAACAAAGCATCACCTGACAAATGCTCAAGACAGTGATTTCTGCTCATGTATGAGGGCTTAATCATCATTGTTGGTCCACAATGATCATCCATGTATAGTTTATGCCTATTGACTTTTATTCTACCAACAGATCTAACACAGAGTAATCTGCTCTAGAATTACATAGGATTTTAGGCTGGTGTAGATGGAAAGGTCCTCAAAACATTTCTTTGTCTATCTTTTCTACATTCTGGAGAATGATTAAACATGCAATGTAAGCAGATTCTATTCATTTGTTCTTTTATGTTGTATGTCTGTTAAATACGTGCTATTTATCAGGTGGCTAGTATAGGGGTTTGTTCTGTTCTACTGAACAGAAGATAATCCTTGGCAGTACATCCTTGTGTGGAAATATTTGACTATTCTCTTTAGAAGAGTCACAAAAAATAGAAAGCATTATTCCTTTATCTGT